CCGCACCTAGCAGGGGAGGGGCGCGAAGGGCGCGCCCCAGTGGCCGTGCAGGGCCCGCCCCGGCCCCGCCCTCCAGGACGTCCCGTCGGGAAACCTGCGAGCCGCACCGCGGAGCGGCTGTGTCTCTGCCTTGGCGCGACAGGTAAGTGGCAGAAGCAGCCGGCGACCCTCTCAGGCGCCCGCGACCGAACCCCCGAGCCTAGAACGCAGAGCTCTCTCGCTTCTCGGGACTTCCCCCCAGTCGAGCTCGCGTCTGCCAGGTCCTTGCTCCCCACCTCCCTCCTCCGCCGACCTTCTCCTCCTCCACTTCCTCCTCACCACCCCCCGTAGTGAAATGAAGGGGTTGGGCCAGACTGGTCCTAAGCTGTCGCGGTGGCCTCTAGCTCCTCCCTCGGTAGGACCCCCCCCACCCCCTCCGCCTTTGGAAGATGAATGAAAAGCTCAGACCTCTGGGACTTGGAGGGGGTTGGGGGTGGGAGAGGGACAAGCTGTAGCAGTCCCTCCAGGGTTCTACGGCCTTTTCCCTTTACCCACCCATGACCCCGCATCCCTTCTGTTCCCCTTCTTCCCAGATTGGGCCACCCCATGTGCCCCGCTACAGGAAATCTTTCAGAGATATATCCTCTTGCCAGTGCCACGTTGCGCCTGAGTAGAGGTGGGGTCTCAGATGTCCTCTGTCTGGTGTCTTGGGCCTTTTAGAAGTGGGAGCTGTGTGGTATTGTGGGAAGGGAGTCTCAGGGTGTTCATGATTGTGACTGTCACCAACTTCCCGATTTCCCCGTCACTTGTTCCGACAAGCCCCAGGCTAACTGAAAGGAGAAACCGTTTGTTACATGCCCCCAGAGCTAGTCATCCCAGACCCTGACGTCTGCAGAGGGTAGGACAGGGCTCTCCTGTGTGAATGGGGGAAGAGGGGCTCAGTTTGTCAGCAAAGCTTAAAAGAGACCCCCTCTATTGGCTAACACCCAGCGCAACAGCCCCAGGAAGGGTTTTAACGCTGCCCCTCCAGACCCACAAATGCAGTTTACAGGCACTGGATGAGGTTAGCAACTCTAGACACACCAAAGAGATGTGTGGGCTTCTGCTCGTTTTACCAGAGATGTGTGTGCACTGCGCAGGCCCTGTTCACCTCCCCAACACATGAGCCCTGTCCTTCCCCATCAGAGGAAGGGTAAAAAGGATGAGACAGGCAAGTTCATGTACAAGGTAAGGTGAGGGGTTTGAAAAATACTTTGGTTCCTATTATCCTGCAGAAGCCAGTATCACTGCAGATACTCCCCAAGTTCCTATTCCTCAACATCGCCATTCATGTAGGCACAACAGAGGTAACAAGAGAAACTACTTTCAGGGGCATCAGGACAGAAAGGGCAGGACTGTCAAAGAGAAGAGGGAGTCCGGAGCCAGTAGAACCAGGAAGGATCCCAGGCTGCCTGAGATGGCCTCGGCCTTGGTCATCACTGTCCGCAGTTGGCAGGACAGCTCACACCCACCCACAGCAGTGTGGAGAACCCACACTTGAGAAGGGGAGGTGCTGATGCATGTTGAATGCCCTCTGAGATCAGAAACATCTTAGCCCAAGTTCAGGTGTCCTGGATAGGACATAGGACCATAGGCTTAGTCCAGGTAGCCATTGCCTAGAACGGAAGTCAGGAATAGGAGGGGCAGCTAACCCTAGGACCAGGGGCCTCCCAATGCAGGGAGGCAGTTGGGTATGATGGATCCAGGCAGCTGACTTAGCTCTGTCTCTACTTTAGCTGTCTAACCTTGGCCAAATCGCATAAACACTCCCTGGGTGGGGAGCAGATGAGGTGTCTATGAAAGTGCTTTGGCAATGCTCCAAGCAAGAGCCAAATAAGAGGCAGCGTGGTGTCATGGTGAAGACAGTGGGCTTTGGAGAGACCTGGGACCGGAGTGCAAACTCTGCCTCTGCTACTTCCTTGCTATGTGACCTTGATCACTGTGCTGGCTTCCTCCCTGTGCTTCAGTTTCCTTCCGTGTAAAATGGAAAAGATAACTGTCATTTGACTTGCTGTGATGCGTAGTGATATCAAAAGTGGTGGTGGTATTGCCCTAAGCCTCCTCTGGCTCACGCAGACCTCACCAGCTCTGGAAGTGAAGCTGAGGATCAGAGAGGGCGTCTGTGTACCAGAGGGACCCAGCGAATGGCCGTGCCAAAGACTTGGGTGAACTTGGTTCTTCATACAGCCCTCTGTCCCACTCTGGGAAAGCCCAAAATGTCCGTTCTCATTCAATGAGAATGAGAGTGAGGGTTTGAATAAATGAGAGGTCAAGTGCAGGGCAGTGCCTGTCTCAGTGTTGAGCTCAATGCTGTAATTGTGCTGTGTAAAAGGCTCACACAGTGAACAAGGTTGGGTTCAGTCTGGGGAGAAAAAGGACTGTTAGAAGGCTCTTTTGTGGCACCTGAGAGCCCCATGGGGGTAGGTTATTCTCCTGTACCCTGTACAACCTGGTCCTGAGCCCTAGGTAGGTTTGAAGGAAGGAAGAAACCCAATCCCTCACCCTCAGCTCTACCTATAACAGAGAACAAAGGACAGACAGACCAAGGCAATGCAATAGCATGACCAAATTCCTCAGGGCTGTGGGATGCTGCGGGGCTGAGAAGGCTAGGTGGGTTGGTGGGGAAAAGCATTCTGGAGGCCGAAGATTGAGGACGAGGAAATTTAAGGACTGGGAAGGAGAAAGCAAACAGTTTCGGCTGCCATCAAATGGCGCTAAAGGAGTAAGAATATAGCTGCTCAGATTGTGGAAGGGAGAGGGGCCTGAGGCAAGGCAGGCAGCTTCTGCTGATCCTCCAGATGTGGGGAGATAAGGATGCAGTCTCAGATGACGATTTTGAAAGAGAGAGAGGAAGAGGAGAATCCAGGAGGTAGGGAATGAATCAGCAGGACCTGGGAGAGGGGCGTGGAATGAACCTGACATTGAGAAGGCACCGAAAACTATCGTAGGTGCCTGGGAGTGGGGCTGGGGCAGGGGCTGTTTCAAGGATTTCCGTGCTACTGGCAGCGACGGGGAAATTGGGAAGACCCGCCAACTTAGGGGGCGGGGCGTAGACCGTGAGCTCAGGGTGTGGCAAGTTGAGTGTGGGTGGTCCTGGGTAGCAGCCCTACAGCCGGGGGCAACCTGTGGGGTGAGGAGAGAAGGAAAAACCACAGTTCTGCCCTTCCCCCCCCCCGTCACCACCCCCTCCTCAAATCTGGGGCCCTGCCCAAGCCTTCAGAAATACCATTCGGGGTCACCCCTCCCCCTCCCCCACTCCGACACGGAGGAGCCAGCAGTCTCCGAGCCTCCCGAGCCTCCTGAGCCTCCTTTCGAGAACAGTTGCACATCCCTGCCCCACCCGACGGGCCTGGAGGTCCTCCAGTGAAAAACCCGTGAGCTGCTGAACTTTGTTTGGTCACGTATTAGTTTGATTTTCAGTGGTTTTTACAGACTTGGAATAAATGAACAAACATTTATTGAGCACCGACTACATGCCAAGCATTGTTCTAGGTATACCTTGTGAGCAAATTTGGGTTGAGTTTTTCAATGGAATATCCGTGTTTGGGTAACTTCGGCTTAAAATGTTATGCAAACATAAAATGAACCTAGATGGGGGGGCGGGGGACATGAGAGATTAGCTACAGAAATAACTTTGAGTGCATCTTTCTGGGAAAATACGCCACAGTCCTGCCGCTTGAATCTTGAGGAAAAGCTGAAATGTCTTGAAGGTGTAATTAAGGGGAAAGTGAAAACCTCCCAGCATTCTATAATCAAAAGGGTCAGAGGGTGGGAGGAGGGGTTTGCAGGAGAGAATTCGCTACTCATGAGAACAGAGGAAGTGAAATGGGTGTTGTGTTTGATGGAGAAGTGCTGGTGACAAGAAAGAATCAAATGGCCCCAAAGGGCCTCTCAGTGCTCTCCCCCCACACTGGTCGCTTGAAATTGACCTACCCCCTCCCCAACATGATGTCTAGCACCACACACACCTGCGCCCTTGGTGAGAATGGTGACAGTCATCACTTTTTCGAAGAACCTGTATTTGAGCGGTAGTCTGAGTAACTTGAGCAAACATCCCCGTGGTGGTGTCGACTGCTCACTTCCTGGCTGCCACGTCTCCCGGAGGTGAGGAGCTTAGCTGATAAACAGAAACTTTGTTACAAAAAGGCCACCTGGCCAGCAAGGGCGTGTTCTGGGGTGGCTGACTCTGGTTGTCACAAAGCTGAAACTTTGCCTGGGACTTACAATTTTGTCATTGTTAAAGCATTTGTAGTCCTAGGTAGGATTTGGGGGAGGGGCGGGGCCCGTATAAGAGTGGATTGGTGAGTGGCAGGGCGACTGGGGGGGGGGGACAGCCTGGCCCCAGGCTCACAGGAGCCTAACCCAGTCCCCAGACCACCCACCCCCACCCCCCAGGTGACCTCCAAGATGGAGGGAAGAGTATGGGAACAGAGCAGTGGCCTGGGACTTGGGAGACTGGCATCTGCTCTTGGGAGCCACAGCTGTGTGATACTAGAGAAGTCACCTAACCACTCTGGCCTCTCCTGTAAAAGGAGGGCGCTGGGCTCGCAGACAGACCCAGCCAAAGTGGCCTGCTGAGGTGTAACAACAGAATACCACGGAACTCAAATGCTTGCTCCTGTAAGTGCATTCAAAATATCGCTTACCCTTGTAGCTTGGAACACATCACTTTAACCCCTCGGGCTTCATCTCCTTGAATGAGAGTTTATGGAGTATCTACTCCCTGAAAAACTTGGGCTAGACTTTGCAAGTGACCGAAAATGCGAAAACAACCTGCCTCTCTGGCCTGCCGTTTACAAAGGGGCAAGAGAGAACAGACTCCTCTGACCTGAGGCGGGCAGTGAGGAGGCCAGCGTGGAAGCACAGACAGAAGGGACGGGAGGCTGGAGAGAGGAATTCTGCCGGGAGATCTGAAGGGGCTGCTTGGAGGAGGCTAGGATATAAAAAGGAGGGACTGCACTGCATCACTGGCTTTCAACCTTCTGTGACCGGGCCGGAATAAGAAAGACATTTTACAACGAGACGTAGTGCCCACTCCCATATGAGGGGTATCCCAAAAGTCTTAGGGCACTTTGACACTTTATTCACATCAGAGGTATGAATTCTACAAACTGACAGAAAAGCATCATTTGAGAATGTAGGAATTTAATTTTCTTTCACCTTTATTGAGTTTGATGAATTTTAAACAACAAATTTTCCTTTTCATTTTGTATCAGGATATGTTTATCATCTCTAATGGGCGGAGACAAGCATTAAAATAAAAATTTGTTATTCAGAATTCA